GCCAGTGTCAGTGTATGTACTGATTCACTGAACACCAGTGTCAGTGTGTCACTGCAGTCAGTGCGCTCAGTGCAGTGGTATCACTGTCAGTAATTCATTGTTTTCACCGAAACTGCACATCCCTACCCCACACCCACACCCACACCCACACTCACACCCACCCACACCCAATTCAAACTCTAGGAAAATAACGACTATTACTCAATATGTATTATAAAATAATCCATATTATCGAACTAAAAAAATAAACAATAGACCATAATTTTGTTTCAAATAAAGAATAACAAGTTTAAATATTGAGTACTTCAAATTAAAAAAAAAACTTTTCGACATATTCAAAGTTATTCATATTATTAATTATCGAAAATTAGACTATGTTTTTTAATCATTTTCAAATGAAATATTGAAATTTGTCTTGGTTTATTTTCACTCATTTATTATAATATCTATGTTGAATAAACAATGAGATTATTTGCCTTGATTTTCTAGTTTTATTCTTTTGAATTTTTTTTCAATAGAAGACATTGCTTTTTCTCGTTCTTTACTCTTTTTTTTTCCTAGAATGATTCACAAAAAAGAAAATTTCACTCAGAAATAACCAACAAAAATGAAATATACATAAGTAAAGTAATACACGTAATAGAAACTCTGGCGTATACTCAAATTCATGACAATGAATTCATACTAAATAATATCACAATCATTTTCTAATAATAGAAGTTAAAATTTCATCAGCTGTATTTCTAACTCAAATGATTATATAATAGACATTATAAAGTACAATTAGCGGACACTTTTTGTGTACACCTATCTATTAAAGAATATATTTCACAAGAAAATAATTCTGTCTAAGTTTTAACAAAAAAAAATATGTACATCTTGTAATTGTCATCAAATGTATCTTAATCATGTACAATCATATTTAATTATACATGTAAAACCTGATAGTTCAATTCAACTATTCAACAATTGAATGACACTAAAAGACACAGATACGACCTCTCGCTTCATGTGAATGCCATAGAAACAGAATAGTTGACTTTAACTTTCAGATTTGATATCACTGCGATATAGTGTTTCTATTCAATTTGTCGATAAGACGTGAATTTTCTCTATTTTTACTCTCGACCAGGACGATACTCAATACCATATGTGTATTTCAAACTACAAAATAATGTTCCATTGAATGAATAACTAACGTTTATAGCACGTATAAGAAACTCTCCTTCTGTCCATTGTCTATGTATATGAACCAAATCGTCTGTCTGCATATTGTAATACCAGACATAATTACTTTTTTTTTAATAGTAACTAATGTACAAAAGTCTTTGTCATTTTCATATTGTTCTATAAATACTTGTTGATGAGGTGCGAGACTATAGTTTGAATTAACTGGTATTGCAAACTCATGCATAATGAGTTGCGTTGCCTAATTGATCAGTTTAATTTTTTTAATTCCCTCTTGCCTTTTATTGATTAGATAATCGAGACCTTTGAGAAACAGTATCTGCCGTAACGTATTGTTTGAAAAATAATAGGTAAGTGATTGATTTACTCCGTTTGTTTTTTAGGGATTCAAGCCTCTAAAATTAATATTTATTGAGTCGTCAGAGAAATATGTTTGAAACATCTGACTTGTACTGAGTCCTTTGACATGAATATCCATATCCTGCTAGAGATGCAATGGTGATGATCATTCACTGATTTAATTTTCTCGATAAAAAAGAGATTTTTAAAGAAAATAACGATTGTCAATTTCTATTAAAAAAAAATCGTTATTTTCTCTGAAAATCTGTTTTTTATCGAGAACATTAAACTAATAACCGAATTCCACGGTTATTGTCATTGTTACATTTTTATTTACATATTCGATGAGTAGAAAAACAGGCTCATAATGTAATATTAGAGCGTACATCGAATAATAATCAAATATTGTACTATTATTTCAATAATCTTAATTTATCATTCAAATATAAATTCGAATAATATTATAAATATTGTCATTGAAAATAAAATCTAAATAATGAAACAAAATAACAATTGATTTGTCTGTTATTTCTTATTAAAGTTGTAGTTTCTTTTCATCTTTTTTAAAATTATATAGAAATAAATATGTGTAAATTTTTCTATAAAATCTCAACAGAAACAAAAGAAAAAACAACAATGAATAAGTGAAGGATGGAAAACGAAATAGAAATATAATTAAACGCTACCAATAATAACAATATGACAGTGAAATATAAAGAAATAGAGAAAAAAAGAAAAACAATGATAACAATTGCTTTTACTCATATAGAAAACATAATGTAAAGAAAAAAAAAGAAATAAGCTAAATTGATCACTGTCTCAACGTTCGATTTGATGATTAAATAAGACCGTTGTTAACTAAAATAGAAATATAAACAAAATTCATTAAGATTAAATTAGTAGAAATATTCATGCTTTTCAACAAAAAATAAAACAAGTCAATGGATTAGTAGCATAGCTTTCTCGATTATAGGAAAATAGACAACAAAACAAATCAAGCTTTAAAGATAAGAATGAACTAGAAAAACGAAATGATGTTTAAGTCAATAACGAGACAAAAACAAAAAAAAAATGAAAGTATTTCAAATAAAATTTTTTTATTAGAGCGATGAGCTTAACCGATTAGTAATGTTATTTATTCATGCATTGATTTTCTTTTAATTTTAAGTTATTGATCATATTAAACAAGATGATTCTAAAATGATATTCATTCACCAGTCTTTTCTACATGGAAATCTAATATTAGACGTTTTTCTATCTATGTACGAACTCGCCAAGCAAAGAAATTATAGTCTTTGTTTAATTTTCTTTATACTGTAATCATGCAGAATATAAATAAAAACAAAAAAAATTTCAGTAAACAAAACTTTTCGAAATACTTAAATTTCTTAAAATAAAAAAAAAATATACAATTCTTCATGCTCGAAGAATACCAGATCTTTAAAAAAAACTATGTATGAATACTTTGAAATAAGTTCATGTTCTTCGTTTATTGCTGCGGATATACGACATTCACATATTGAACTTACGAAAATATATTTATGAGATAATTTTAAGAGTCGAAATTGATTCATTGCCATGAAATTTTCAAGCCAAGTTAGGCATCATTTTACTGAATTTTCGATCAAGCTCGAAATAAATACTGAAAAATCAAAAAGAAAGAACATTGTTTTCAGTTGAAACTTTCAAGATACTTTCCGAATTATCAGAACTATCTATGTACGAAATTTTATTTTTTGATACCTGAATAGAAAATTCAGTAAGACGATCATAATTCGACTCTAGATACTTATAGGAGTTTAGAACAGTTGCTCGCCGTACAGTTGCGCGTGGACACTTGTTCGCTGGACAGTTGCGCGCGGACACTTGCTCGCTATAACAGTTACATAGGGTCCTATAGCAAGCAACTGTCCTAGCCAGCAAGTGTCCGGATCCCACTTATAGGAATGTATCCTCGCTTTTTTATTTAATTTTATCAAGACCTCTGTGAATTCGATCAGAGCTCATATGGAGAATATCAGTTTGAATGGTGTCTCCGTAAGGAATATCAAAAAAAAAACAGATATTTGAATTTCACTTTCAAACTTAAGACAGTGTCTATGTATGCGACGTACAAGATATGTTGTTACTCATATCCGTATCTTAGAATAAAAATAATGAAACGATTTGAAACTTTTATAAAAACTTGTCTCTCTGCAAAGTTTCAATTCGAAAATTAGTGTTCGTGTTATTCCTACGAAAGATCATCACGATACTAAATGTAAAATGCATTATTTCAACAACAATAAAGTTCCATGAAGAACTGTTTTCAAAGCATTCATAGCTCATTATCATGTGTATAGTTTCAATTGAAATGTAATTAATTTCAACCTGATTTGTTATACACTTAGCATAGTTTCATTTCGTTTGTCAATATAAAGCGTTTTGTATCATGACAATAAAAATTAGCGTTTAAATAAAAGCCTATTAACGACCCACATATATATATTTTAGCGACTGGTACTACGACGACGACGAAAAAGCTTCTTAAGTATATTTCCTATTGACAAAAGACTCAAAGTTTATTTTATTCAATTTTCGATTTTGTTTTTTTTGTTTTTTTTGAATACCTGGACTTTTTGATTTATTTGATGGATATCTATTGAGTGTAGATGATCTGACTGTTCTTGCTGATAAACTATCACTATTATCTTTTGTTTCAATTATTGTAGTAGTTGACTGATCATTAACATTAGTTGGTTCAGAAATTTTCATATTCAATCTAAATATGCAGAAATTTAAAAAATTTAATTTTAAAATTCTCTTTTTTTTTTAATACATACGTTTGAGTTAATAATTCTGATGGAATCATTTTTCTTGGTGAACGAAGTCCATAATTACTCAAATCTAATCGATTCATATCTTCAATTATTGATGGAGCAACATAAGTAAAACCCTATGATTAAACAAAATTTGTATTTTTTTATTTTTTTTTTCAAATGAACATACAAGAAAAACTTGATTAGCACTTTCACTTAACATATTATCATCCGGTGAATCAACTGGTGTTTGTACAGTAAATTTTGTATCAAATTGACTAACATCATCATCACTTTTAAGAATTGGTTTATATGGAGGTTCATATCGTTTTGCATAAACATCATTCCAATTTAAATGACCAAAAAATGGATGACTCTAGAAAAATATATATATATATTCAATGACAATGGAAAAAAAAATAAATATTTTATTACTTTAATTGCTTCTGCATCTTCAAGTCCACTACCAAGTCGATGACTGACTTGTCGACGAAGTAACTAAAATAGAAAATTTATTTTTATTTTTATAATGTCATTCGACTATCGCACAATAAAAATACTATTCAAATTCTATTGTCTCAATTCGAACTTCAAATAATTTTTGCTCATATTGTATTTTAATTCTTATTTCAATTTTTTCAAATAAGAATTTTTCTTTTTCTTTTTTTCAATTTTACGAGCAATAGATTTAATATCCTAGTATTTCTTGACTTTTATTTTTTGACTCAAGAATAGTTCTCATTATAAGTGTAATATGATACTATTGTATTCAATTCTTATTCTCTCAATATGTTTAATATGTGATTGTATTACTTACATTTCGAATTAGTTCTCTTGCATCAGCAGTCAAATATGCAGGCAAAACTAATTTTGCTTTTATTATTTTATCCATTGTTCGTCGACGATCTTCGGCTGTGAATGGAGGCTGAATCAAATGTAAGAAGATATTGAATGGTACTATTGAAAAGAAAAAAAAAATTCAGTGACATACAGCACCCGTTAGCATATCGTACATCAATGCACCAAATGACCACCTAATTAATAGAAGATAAAAGAATAATAAGTTTTTTTTCGTTTAAATTTTAATTCAATACAAACCAATCAACAGCTTTGCCATGTCCAGATCGAGTTAAAATTTCTGGTGCCATATATTCAATTGTACCACAAAATGTATTTGTTTGTCCACCATGATAGATAGATTCTTTACATAAACCGAAATCAGTTAGTTTTACATGACCTAAAGTAAAATTAATAAAAAAAAAAAAAAAAAAAAATTGAATTTTGAGAAAATACCTTGAGCATCAAGTAGAATATTTTCTGGTTTAAGATCTTAAATATAATGAAAGTTCAGACATATATGTATATATATATATTTAAAAATTCTTCACCTCTAAAAAAAGAAAATATTTATTTTTATAAATAAAAATTATTATTAAAAATCGACCTGTAAATAATTCCTTCTTTATGTAAATGTTCAATTCCAAGCAATATTTCAGATAAATAAAAACTAGAAAATAATGAAATAGAATTGATTTTTTTAGTTAATGAAATTTTCTAATCTAATCTTTTACTAACATAGATCAAATAAAAAAGAAGATTTTCAGAATGTTAGATTATAATTGAAGAATTATTCTAATACACTGTATGATTTTAAAATAAAGCATATTTTATACATAGCAACTCTTTATAATCAAACATAATCCATGAAATCCATGGATTATTTTATTTGTAATGACAAGAAGATATAATGTTGTAAAATACCTCTATAAGCAGATCATATCTATTTTGATTTTTACTTCTTCTTCACTATAACATATTATCATAGATAAAAAAAAGCATGTGTTTCATTACAAACAAGAGGCCATAAATCAATGGCCTTTATTTTTGATTATTCTAGTTCACAAATATGAGTTTTCATCTCAATGTAAATTACGATCTTTATTTGATCTACCTAACATTCATTTTATAGCTTTCACAATGTTCTTTTTCTTTTTTATATATTTTCATTCTCTAAATAAATAACAGACAATATTTATCATTTATCTTGTCAATCATAAATTTACCTTGACCTTTTTTTTGAGAAAGAAAAACAAACAAAAAATTTTCCACAAAAAATTTCTTTATTTACATAATAGTATTTCTTTTTTTTTTGTTCTTATCTCTAAATTATAAATTCTTACCAAGCCATATCATCTGAAAAGATTCCTTCACGTTCTAATTGCATAAATAATTCTCCGCCTGATAGATATTCTAATATTAAATATAATTTTCCACCTGTTTGAAATGCATACATAAGATCAACAATAAATGGACACTAAAAATATTTTTACCAATACAAAAAGAATAGAAGAAAATTTTTTTTTGTTTTTCATAAAAAAAATTACTTTAACACATTCAAGAATATTTCTTTCAGCTTTTGTATGAGCAGTATCTTTTGCATTTCGAACAATACTATATTAGAAATAATATATGAAAAATATTTCACATAAATTTCATCAACATACGTGGCTTTTTTTAAAACTTTCATAGCAAATATTTCACCTTGATGACTACCAAATAATTTTTTTACTTGAAAAACTTTTCCATATCCACCTTTACCTAGTACTTTTAATAATTGAAAATCATGTGGTGAAATTTTTTCTCCACGTGGATTAACTGTTCGTTCAGTTATTTGTACTGTTTCAATTTCACTAGAAAGCAAAACAAAAAAAACAATGAAGCTTTTAAAAAAATTTTTATTTCTTAATATTTTTTACTTTATTTGTGATGGATCAGCACCAGTATCATTATCAATAAAACGATTATCATCGTCATCATTATCAATTGATGGATATCGATGTTCGGTCATTTCTAATGAAAATAATGGCTCGTCTGCCATGATTAATTTTAATAAAATAAATAATTAGGTTTTTTTTTTTCTATATCTATGTTATATTTTTCTTATTTTCAATGCATATTTAAGCTTGTCTATGTGGAATTCGAATGCCTCAATATTTTGTCGAATATGAGATAGTGGACTTTTTCTTTTTCTATTGGTTAAATACTTGATCAATCAAAATTGACATGTCAATTTTACGCATGTAGAATTAGTTTATATTGTTGTCATGACATTTGATTGAAAAATGGTAGAATAGTTTTTTTGTTTTTAGTTTAATAAAATAGATCAATGTAAGTTTTATTGATATATAAGAATATTTAAAAACAAAAATACACTATATGTATTGATTTTTATTATAGAATATATAATTGGATAAAAGGTAATGTTAAAATATTTTCATGTTTCTACAAAACTAAAATTTGTTCTCCTTTATTTCACTTTTAAACAATTGTCATATCGTATAAAATACAATAGTAAAGTGATAATAATCTCGATTATCCATAAAACTTGTAAATCAGAAACTCTTATTTGATACATACTTATGAGCTCATGATTTCTATCTTGATCGATAGTGTAAAACTTTGTATGAAGTCAACTAAATTTTTTTTACCAAAATGTAATTTTTAACATATGAACTTTTTTGACTAGTAGATTTTGGAGGTACTAGCAATATTTTATGAAAGAATTCGGACACGAAACAAAGTTAAAGTCAATTTCGATTTTCTTTTATGTTCATAGGCTGTTGTTGAAACTTCATTCAAACTATATCAGATTATATAGTAAATATCAAAGAACAAAACCTATTATTCAAAAAAAAAAATGTTCATTTGTTCAAATTGAATTTTTGGCAGAAAGAATTAGTTTATTAAGTTTTACAAATATTCTTGATAAGGATAAACATATAATATTGTTGAGAGATTGATTATTCAATAGAAACAGGTGCGTTAATAGAGAAAGTTTCGTTCTGATTGTTAAAAGAAATTTTTATTGATATGTTCATTTTTTGAAATGAACATTTGTTCTTTTCTTTAGGACATTAAAGATATTATATATATCACAAAAAACATAATTTGATCGACTACAAACTGAGATTTTCCTTCAGTTAACTTTAGAAAAAACGATGTTAAAACTGAATAATTAGACACTAATTGGCAAGTAGTTTTTTAGAATGATAATATCTATCAGAAAAGAACGGATGATGTTTTTAAATGTCTAAATGATTTTAATAAATGTTTACAAGCTTAGAATCTGGTAGAATTTTCAATTGCAAACTCAACGAATTATAAATAGGTCGTGAAAAATATTTCAAAAGTCTATATAACAATCCTTTATCAAAAATATAGGAAACAAGTTCCTATTGAATATCAATTGCGGTCGAGTTTGCTTACTCTAAATTTATATCAATCAATAGAGTTTTTCGTAGGTTTATAATCTACCAGGAAAAAAAAGAGCTGCGAACATGTTTGGATTTACAAAAGTTTTGTTCAAATAGACAAAACCGACATTTTCTTCTTTGACCGATGTTCAGTGGTTTTGGTTTTAATACTCATCGATAACTTTGATTTTTCAAGTTAGTTTTTGAAACATCTGTGAGAGGTACGAGATCTCTAATTTTGATCGAAAAATGAAAATCATCAGAAAACTTTGAAACACATAAAGATCGACATCATGTTTTTTCTTTTGTGCTGATTTCAAATATACATCAAGTTCGATCCAAAAGATAATTGTTGAACACTGATCAAAACATGTTCGCAGTTTTTACAAGCGTATAAAAAAGAAAACTTTATTAATTGATATACAATTTCAAGTGAATGAACTCTACTGTAGTACATAAGAAGGTTTATATCAGATACTAGCAGCATTTAACAAGAATTGTTTTCTCTACATATTATATAAAGGATTTTTATACAAATTTTTGAAGTATTTTCCATGGTCTATTTATCGATATATAATTTGTTTAGTTTAAATTAAGTAATAAGTACATTCATCAAGAAACACATGTAAAATTTGAAAAATGCAATCGGATTTTTATCTTGTAAATATCGACTAAAATCATTTAGAAAATATCAAGTGTGGAGTTTCTATTATTATCTTCGTTATTTCTACATAACGAAATCATAACAAATTAGTATTCTGTTCCTTTGGTACTACAAGAAAAGAAATGAATGCTCATTTTAAAAGAAACCTATTAATAAAATTTACGTCAAATTCTGTATTCTTTTGATATTAGAACGAAACTGTTTGATCGAGCTTCACTTGACTAAACAACCTATCAAACATCCGGCAATAATGTCTGCTATTATACTCATTAGTTTGATGAAACCATGCGGAATATTCAGGAGATGTTTTTCCATTGTTAAAGTTTATGTTCTGAAGATTCTAGAAATAAATATCAAGCTAATAAGGAATAACATGGCAAAACTCTGCAGGCTATGTTATTCAATGATGTCATCCTTTATGAATGAATGAATAAAACTCATAGATTGAGTATTAATTCAATACTATAAAACATCGATAATTATTCGTGTATTTGTTAAGAAATCTTATCTATTACTTTTCAATTAATATGAATAGAATATTGTTTGAGTTGTATATATTATTAGAAAATTCATTTTAAATAATTGAGAACTTTTTCGTAGAAGGAAAAAAACAAAGAAGAAGATTATTCTATTCATATTATAGAAAAGAATTTTGAATAAATGTATTATACTAAATCATGATTTGTATTCTTATAATTATTTTAAATATCAATTTGAGAAGATTACAATCATTATTTATTTACAAAACAGTTCGTTTTCAATATATCTGTGATTAATTTTATTAACAATTTCAAGATATAAAAAAATGTTGTTCACTAATTGAACCAATTACCATGAACTTTTTCGTCGAAATTTTCGAGTCATTGCAACAAAAATATCTGAAGTTATAACAAATGCACGAAAAATTACGAATATTTTAGCATTGAATTGAATAAACTTTATTCACTCAAAAAAAAACAAAAGTAATTCAATAACGAGGGCTTGAGAGTTCCGTCATGTTATTTCTTATTAGTACGATGTTTATTTCTAGAATTTTCAGAATATAATTATTAATGAAGGATAAATATTTCCTGAAAATATTACTGAGTAATTCATCTCTTAGACATACTTTATGATAATCCTGAATTCCAGGTGAATTATACATACATTAAGTAGTCTGATAATCAACTCTTTAAAGAGAATGAGACGTGACGAAGGACAAACTTTTGATTACTAATTTAAATAATCTACTAGCTCTTTTTAATATAAAATATATTTAATTTCATGTTTCATATGAATTAAATACATTAACTTTTTTTTTTCTAATTAAAAAGATACAAATTTTCAGATTGGGACTGTCTATCCTAATTTCGATTTGAATAGTCAATAATGACAAACTTTTTCATTTATTTTTTATGAATTATTCAACTATGAACTATGATAAATTTATTAACAGTATTATGAACAGATTATTTTTAGACTTTGAACTTTCTTTTTCAATAGATTGATGAATATTTTATTGTAGTTGATTCCATTAGTAAGGTGTTCATTAGTCAAATTCAGCGTTAAATCATCCATTTGTTACGTTTTTTTTTATATATAACAGAAACATGTATTTCATCATGCAAACTTATTCCGCATTATCAATTTAGAATAGATAAAAAAGAAATAATGACGACGTAGTTTCATAAATAATATATTTATACAAAAGAATACAAAGATAATCAGATTCACTTAGAAAAATGTTTCTAATGAATAATAAAGGAAATGTTTTGTATAACATTAAATTTCTTAGTTTGATAAAAAAAAGCCTATCGACTCCGATAACCTCTTTTTTTTAATAATGAAACCTTAATTTATAACAATAAACAAAATTATCAATGTGAACTATATAATTAAATATATTCTTTAATAAAAAATCACAACAATAGTTATATGATTAAAACGAACTGCATTCATTTCGAATATATATATATATAATCCAATAATATGGAAGTAAAAGAATGAACTTAAGGTTTAAAATTTCTAAATATAAAATAATAATCTATGTAATGAATAGATTATGAGACAGATTTATATCATATGAACTTAATAACTGTAAAGAATAATGATTCAGTTTCATAATGTATGTTTAAAAATCTTTATATATGTTTATCTTAGTATTATATGATATTGTTTAATTTCTACAGAAAAAGAAAATCTGTAATTCATCACATGACAATTTTTCCTTGATAAAAATGTTTTGATTAAAAAGAAAAAATTAGTTAGATAAATATGTATATATATTATTTTGTCTTTGTGGTTTATTCTTAATTACGTTTTCTTTTTGATGAAAAGAAGATTACTATTGTAAACATCACGAATGATAAAGATAAAAAAAAAAGATGTTTAGCTTCTTTCCTATGGAATTCTACATGTATTAATAATTTTCTATTCAATTGTTAATAATTTTAAAAAAAATTGATTATTAAATCTAAAAAATCCTTTATGATATGAATAATATTTTAAGTTAATTAAAATAAATCACACACAAATATTTATAAAATTTAAAAAAGAAAAAAGACAAAGAATCATTTCTAGATGTACGATCGAGCACCACGTAATTTACACCTTGCAATAGGCTGTACACCAGATCATGTTGGACCAGGCACTTATGATCATCGACGAAACAAATTTCATGAAGGTTAATGAAATCTTTTTTTGCTTTCAATAAAGATTCATCTAAAGAAATTTTATTTTATACATAAACAGTCGGCTATGCTCCATTTTTAACACTTGCAAATCGTGGTGATGTATTTTCCAATGATGACAATCCTGGACCAGGTCATTATGATGTAGGAAATGCTCAAACATCAACAATTAAAGTAAGATTTTTGTTTGTAAATTTTCTCCTACATTAAAAAAAAAAAGTAAATGAAAATTATGTTTAATGAATTACATATCAGAATATAATAACTTTTTAATTACATTTTTTCTGCTCATAATAATAATAATAAAATAAAATATATATTCAACCAATTTATTTTATATTGATTCATTTGGAAATTGGTTCTTTTCAAGTCTATATATATTGAAACGAGAAGCTTTTAGTGTAATCAACTGTCAGCGATATTGAAATATTATAGTATGCTTGAATATAGTTTGTTTTTTTTTAAATAGATTTTTATTTTATTTTATTATTTTTAATGAAAGAAAAAAAAAGAAAAAAATGAATTTCATGTCTTTTTTTTATTATTCTGAGTCACATAAACGTTCAACTGCTTTTGCTCGAATTTTTGAACGTTTTTCATCATTTACACTCAGTGGTAGATCATTGAGCATTTCATCTGTAATAGCATATGTTAAAGCATGACAATCTCGAAATGGTAAAAATTCTTCTGGTGATTGATATAGATTAAAATATTTTTCAGTAAATCTTTCTAATTCATTATGTTTTTCATTTGACCAATTTGCATAATCATATTCGATATTGCTAAAGTTTTTTAGAAATAATGCTTTATCATCAGTACTAACATATTTACTTTCAAGTAACATAGTTTTTAAAAATGGTAAATTCCATTCAATTGTATAATGTGGATATTGTGTTGGTATATAAGCCACAGTAAAAAATAATTTAAGTGGATTAAGACGACGTAGTATATTTGTTTTTGGTTTAATAAATGTTGTTTTTAATGTTGATAAATTTTCATTCATATTATGTGGATTTCCATAAATATATGTAATAAATATAAATAATATAAATGAAATGATAATAGTTATTTTGAGCATTGTTATTTTAAAATGTATTGAATTAAAATTGTTTTCTCTATGTCTTTATTCTTATGCTAATAATACTTGTCAATGGTATATATATATATGTGAACAGAGAATGAATATGAGTTGTTTCTGAAGAATTCTATGTTTTGTGCGAAAAGAGAAAATAGAAATAGAGAAATAGAAAGAAAAAAAAAAACATGATATATTTGCTCCTACATATTCTAAAAAAAAGAGGCGACAATGACAGATAAATTATTATTCCATAAAAATATATTAAAGTGAAAGTTATTGAACAATACATCCGCATAGAATTTCTCTTAATGCTTTTAACTATACTTGTTTACATGAGATTATAGTTAGATATGAAAATATTCACTTTTGTATATTATTAAATGCTTGAACAATTTTATGCTCCACTTATTGTGACGTACGTTTCTATTATAGATGCATGAATGCGTATACTTTTTTTCAACAATATAATTATTTCTTGACATCATTTTATATACTAATGATAATTAGAATAAATATTTTATGATCATACTAATAAATCTTTATAAGTTAGAAAATAATAATATTATCAAATCAATTGATTTATTTAGTCAAGTGCTTTTAAGATTAAACACTGATAGAATGTGTTGTTCAATATAAAAATCTATATGTATATTTAATAATTTAAATTTTTGTTGTTTTTCTATCTTCAATCCAGATTGTATATCAAAAAATTGTCTAAGATGGTAATAAGAAAGTCATTATGATTCTGCTATTTACTTCTTCTTCTAACTTCTATGATTATATATTATTAAAATAATTTTTGTAATCATAATTAATCTATCGTTGAATACATTGTTTGAATAGGGAGGAAGTACATTAGCTAATAGAGCAAGTCGTTTCGATCAAAAACTATCTCAAGAAACGCCGGGTATGACAAAAGATAATATATATTTAAATTGTCAAGCAAAAAAAAAATTATTATGATATTCTAGGACCTGGTACATATGAATTACGCAAAACTCAATCAGCTCATTCAACTATTACTGATATTGTCAAAGCAAGCTTCTTTTTTTTTTCATTCAAAGCTCGATTCTCTATTAATTTATATTTTGTTTTTGTTTTTATTAATTATAGCATCCACGTCCTAATACATTTAAATATAATCGTAAATCTGTTCCACCATCTATTCCTGATCCTAAATTCGCTTATGGTTTCGAAGAAGATGCTGGCGGTACACTTGTACCACAACAACCACCAACAAGAGATGCTTCTATAGGTCCAGCTTTTTATAATCCACCACCTGCTGTTCGTTAGATTTTAATGAAAAAAAAAGAGTCTAATCATAATAATAAAATATATTTTTGTTACTCTGAATAGGTTGAAATCGATGCATCAAAATTATATCATGGTGTTCATTTTGGAAAATATTCTGGTAAACGTACAGATTTTTCTGGTAAAACAGGTCCTGGTCCAGGTGAATATGATCCAAATGATCCAATTAAACTTGAAATTCATCATATTAATATGAAAACATGGGATAAAAGACCTGAATTACAAGTTGCAAGATATCCTGATAATTTACTTAAAATAGCTAATAAAGAAGTAATTTTCATTAAGAAATACAAACAAAATAAAAAAACAGAATCATGATAAATAATTTCTTCTATTTGATTAGAGTATTCCAGGACCAGGTCAATATACAATAAAACGTGAACTTGATCCAGAACCACCTAAAGGTGATGTAATTGGACTTGAATTTGAACGACCTGGATTTGGTTCACAGACTGAAGTAAATTTTCTTAATATAATTTTCAATAAAAAATTTAATTGTTTATTTTTATTCTTAGCGATTTAATTCTATCAGATCTGCAGCACCTGGTCCAGCAACATATAATGATAAAGTAATGACAGCATTTAATGCTATTCAATCAAAACCATCAAGTCTTAAACGAAATCCATTTAATCAAACATCAGCAAGATTTGTTGGTCTTGATTATAAAGTAAGAAGTGCTCCAGGTCCTGGTCAATATCGTATACCTGGTTTTGCTGATGAAAATTTAAGAAAAGCTGTTGTTGAAGGTGGTAAAAAACCACCATTTAATGTTGCTTCTGTCAGAAAATTAAATATGACACGTAAAGATGAATATAATACTCCTGGTAAATAACAGCATTTTGTTTCTATTCTGTATTACAAAATTAATCATTTTTTTTACTATATTTGTTTTTTTTTATATAGGTCCAAGTAGTTACGACATTAAACCTAAACCATTTAGATCAAAAATAGAACATCCAACATCAAATTTTGTTTCCGGTACAGCACGGGAAGCTGTTGTTGAAGTAAATTAAATTTATTAAATATGGTTTTTTTAATTAATATTCATTTTCTTTTTCTGTAAAGGATATTCCAGGTCCAACAGCTTATGATGTTTCAAGTGCTTATCAAGCACTTACATCTCAACATCGACAACCACCACGTTCTAAAAATGCTCGTAGACGGCATGGTCAATTTTTAAGTGCAGCTAAACGTACATTTGCTGGTGATGCAGCACTTGATACACCTGGTCCAGGTGCTTACGATGGATTTATTAATGAACGTCCGCGAGGTGTTGCACCTGTACGTGACACTCGTTTTCGTTTTGAAACTTCAAAAATACCAGGTCCTGCTGATTATGAAGTAAAAAAAAGATAAATTTTTATTTTCTTTTTTTTAAAATTTTTGTTTTTCTTAGTTATCACCGCTTCTTCAAGATACTGTTCTTCGTGGTACATTTAATTCAACATTAAATAATCCTATTCTAGCAAAACTACAAAATCGTGCTTTACGTGAAGAAAAATTAGCTGCTGCAGCCTTAAATTCTGCTGCGATTACACAACCTATAGACACTACGGGAAGTATTGGAGAAGTAGCTGTTCACACTTGAGAGATAAGAATCAATGAGTACACTTGCATTTTTTTTTCTTTTTACTTTTATATTCATGTATACAATTAATAAATGTAACAACGAAAAATTTTTCTTTTTTTAAAGATTTTATGAATATTTCAACAAGGAATATCATGACGATTAATAATTTATATGAAATTAGATTCATTCATTATTAAACAAATATTTAGATAGTTATTAAGAATTTATTGTAATGCTCGTTTGTCTTATAGAGATCGTTGATTATTTAGCATGAAATTTATTATGAAACATGATTTTTTTTTTTTTATTAGTAATAAAAATATGACACATATTGTACTGAAAAAAATGAGGAAATGATCTCGGAGTGTTTAATTAGTCATAAAAAATCTTGAAATTGATCTCGTTTTTTTCCGAGTTCAAATTATGAGGACATGATCTCGGAAAAAAAAGCTCATTAACGTTGAATCAACAAAATTAGAGGAAAAGATATCAGTTTATTCTACATAAAGGGTGTTCATTAAGTTTTGATCCGTTTAATCAAAACTTAGTGAACACCTTTTATATGCGTGTATGGTTATATAGAGACTAATGTATATAGTGAATAGAAAGAATGAACAGAAGAGTTAAAATGATTCATCTGATGATATGATGTATGGTGACGAGCGAATGGTTGAGTAGCATTATTTACAAACCTTCTTTCAATTCCGCCTAAGTATTGTCTGAAATAACATGTGATCACCAATATTCTGTTCGTGTAGATATAATTGGAAGCAGTATTCGTGTATCCATTCAACAGTTCTTATGATGATCTGGGAAGTTCGAACAACTCCATAGTTAATTGGAAAAAGAAATGGCAAAGGACAAAGAAAAAAAGGTTAAATACTCGTTGCTGAAGGACTGATTTTTCATACATCTTTTCTTATATATTTTTTATTAGATATTTCGTTATCATACTGTACTTTGTTTATTAGTAAACAGATAAACTAGGACACTACATTTCCATTTTCTCTTTTACATATCAAACCGAGATCTTTTCCTCTAACTTTGTTGATTCAACGTTAATGAATTTTTTCCAAGATTATTTCCTCATAATTTGTACTCTGTAAAAAAAACGAGATCAATTCCCCTATTTTTTCCGAGATCATTTCAGTATTGTTCTATTGTACTTACCAATATGAAAAGATAAATATCGGCTACGATTAAAACACACACTCATTAACGATATATATCTTTGAAAAAATTCTAATTATCTAAAAGGTGACCTTCAAAAGAAAAAAAAACGAGACATATAGTGTACTTGAATCAGTTTGACCTTGTGTTCACCTATTCTCAAACAATTAGTCTTTCAATTTTTCATAAAACTATAAGTTCTCATTGTCATAATTTTCAACAACAATTTTTTTTTCTTCATTTCATAACAGATGATTAATCATCTTGTATATATAATGAATATCAATAAGTTAAAATGTGAATTATTAAAAACTCATCACACTTCAATTATGAACGGTGTCCAACAATCATTACATTAATACTATATTTATTTTTCTACAGAGATCATTGACTTTTTAATAGTCTCGAGTCAAAGATCAACAGACACTAGAATATATGTGATGAACTGGCACAAACTTTGGAACAAGATAATCATAGTTGCAGCAGAATTAAGACCGGAAGTAAAAAATTATTTTAATCTGAAGCGGGGGTGGAACCAAAAACGACTAATACTACTCATGTTTAATTGATGCATGTCATTCTACAGTGAATATTTAAATAAAAAAGAAAATAAGAACACATTTTAGAATTAGAATACACAATAGTTAACGAAAAATTAAAATTTTAAAAGTTATGAATAATAACTAATGATATATAATTAGCCAAATGTCGACTGATCATTTTATTATTTCTTGTTCATTCTTTTTTTTTTTTTTTTCATTTATTTGTATATATTATGTCTTTGCAAATGCGAATAAATTTACACCTACAAATATAAATGTATTACATTAATTGAATGTAAATAACATAAATAAACGTGAAAATAATCGAATATGACAAAAAACATAAAGAAAATGAGAAAAACAAAAAAAAAAACGTTGATCATATATAAATGACTATTCTCTATTTTTATTTTTTATTTTGTAATACAATTGAAAAATAAAAATATATCAGACGGTTTTATATCATAAATGCATAAAGAATGTGTGAGTGTTTTTTTTTTAGGGGAGCCATTCAGATGGTGGTGGAGGTAAATTTGATGATGATGGTGGTGGTGAATATTTACCATTTGATCCTGAAGAATATACATCAGGTACACAAAATGATATTAACGGTAAACGATGAAATATACCATTTGCGTCATCTAAAATATTATGTTTAGTAAACTTGAAGTCTCACTCATGTAAATCAGCAATTTTGATATTCTTATTTCAAGATATAAGTTAATCATGAGACTTGAAACTTGTGTAATAAACTATTCTAATTCAGATCTGTATCTATGTCAAGTTTCATCAGCAATAAGCTGAGGGCGGCACAAACACTTCTCGTAGTACTCATAGCTAGTTTCGAATCAAAAGTGTTTAAATATTTGAAGGTTTTCTCTTGTTAATCTAATGTTGTTAACATAGTTGATACAAGTTTGAGTCTCTATAAGAATAAAATAATCTGAAAAGGACTCATTGTTGTTTTTTTTCTTGAAATATTTGGAAATTCTTTTTTAACTCTGTCACGTTGAACATGACAGATTTCAGTTTATTTATGAAACATGATCTAAAAGAACAGTGTTAAAGTATTGGAGTGGAAATCTGAATCCATCCTCGCGTCACAGATCGTATATTAATAACGGTTCATTATAACACATGAACTATACTTATTACATTTCTGGTGGATTAAGTAAAAGGGCGGTGAAGAAATGTGTCATAAAATAGACAACATTCTCTGTGATTGGTAATAGCAACTAGATTCTGTTTTACATTTTAATTTCACAGGAATTGTGCTAAGAGCTTTTCTTTATATATATATATCAAATAGAAGTCCGAAGAAGAACGTATAGTAAGCTCTATGTCTTTGTTTGAGAAAAAAGAGAAGATTTAGAATTTGAATTATTTCGTATATTCTTACCATTTGTCGATTTTTGAAAAGTACATGATGTTTGATAAACTGGTAGTATATCTTTTGATTTATTTTTATTATCATAAAATTTAGTTGACCAAAAATAATATTGTTTTGTTTTAATCATTTGACGATTATTAAATATTAATTGTTGTTGTTTTAGTTGTCGTCGTCTTATTGTTTCATAAGATGAATTATTTGAATTATATTGAATTGAATACATCTTTAAAATAACAATAATGAAAAAAAACAAAATAAAAGACAAAATTTTAAAAAGATCAATATGATTTCTATTTTATTTCTCGTATGTGATATGATAAATGTTTTATAAAAAATATGTATATGAACACAAAAGAAAAAGAAATTACAAAAAAAAAAGAAAACGCATCACAGGGTCATTAACTCTTCAACAGGAGCTGTCATCGAAGATGATGGTATCGAATTTGAAATGGCAATTGTAACTGGAACATTTGTAGATACATTTGATGATGATGATGATGATGATGAAACAGGTATTGATGATAATATAATTGTATTAACATTTAATGCATCTTGTACATTACTTCGAAATTGTGTTATATTTTGTGTAAAATTTTCTTTATTCGATTCTTTTAATGTTCGATCAATACCTGTCATTAAATTATCTAATGCTGTTGATAATATAGCTTGTTTAGCTTGTGTATGACCATATAATAATTGCTGTTTTATTTCAGTAAAAAATTTATTTTCATTTAATAATATAAGACCAAGAAGAGGTTTTGATACTGTATAAATATTTCTAGAAAAATTTTTTTATTAATTTCTTTAAAGTTTATAATCAAATTATTTATACGATTAGATAGATCATATTTCTCATACTTAAATCTTGAAAAAGTGTAATTTTCATTTTTAATCAAATGTCCACTTAAATGCATATTGTGTATAAAACTTTCTGTATTTCTTCTATTTTGTATTTCACAAAAGTACAATAAGTATTAACTTAAAATTTTTTTTATTCAGCTAGTTTTTCTTTTTTTTTTTTAATTAAGATGGATATTTAAAAAAAAACATATTTTGAGACTTTATCTCAGGTACTTCTAGAAAAAAAATTGGAATCCGATCGATTGTATTCTCATAAAAAAAATCATAAGTAATCTACAAGAGGAAAGATATTCTATTCGAAATTATGACAAATAAATACATATATCGATAGTATAAACTTACTTGCATTCAGAATATATAATACTATTAAGTAAATTAACAAGTATTTGTCGAAATAAACTTTCATATTCTTGTATATTAGTCATTAAATTAGCCGATGCAATATGTTTTTTAACTGAACGAAAAACATGTGATAATAATGTATCTAAATAAACACAACATGCATTTTGTACTATTTGTTCAGATGATAGAAGTCCTTCATTTATTGTTTCAAGTATATAACCAAATAATGGTCGAGATAAATTAGCTAAATAATCAATTTTAACAGTAGAAAATGTTTCAATTAATGAAAAAAAGGCTAATGTTAATTTTGGATATGAAAATAAATGTGATATTTTAATTGTTGTTAATATTGAAATAAATACTTGTAAAAAATTATCAAAACATGGATCAGAATACAATTGAAATACACCAAAATTAACATAATTACCTATAGAAAATTAAATATAAAGAATTGAAATTCAGAAAATATTCAACAAATAAAGTTCATTTGACAACTCAAAATTCTCTCTAGACGTCTTTATTTCATATATATTTAACAAGTAACATTCGTCGGTTCGACTCATTTGACCCTCGACTGTATCAGACAGAAGTATACAAGTCTCATCAATGGACATCCAGTTATGAAACAACTGATTAAGGGAGAACTTATCACATATGTCGGATTGACTGAATTTTCATTCTGAAAAATTGAATTGGTTGAAAATTCAATATTAAAAGCACGAGAATCGAATACTTAGCCAACGTTTTTTATGATGTTTCACCTTTCACTATGACAAAAATTTATTTTATTTCATATAACCGTTCCTACACTCGAGAAAAAATTTATTTTCTCAAAAAAACCTTTTCTCCTGAACCCAAAAAAATTCAATTCAAAATTTCGAGAAACTGACCTCAGATTCGGATTCTCCGACCTTGATTTGTTTTCGTCAACCTTTATACAATATCGTTATTTTCGCAAAAAACCCTTTCCTCAACCTAAAAAATCAATTGAAAATTTCGAGAAACTGACTTCAGATTCGGATTCCCCGACCCCGATTTACTTTCGTCAACCTTTATGGAAAATTTTCTAAAGTGGAAGTTTTTTGACCCCGATGCAGACACACATAAACTATTTTTTTTCATATTACCCTTACTACAATCGTGGGAATAAAAATTTTTTCATTTTTTTTTGAAAAAGTACGTCAGACTATTGTATTTGACCGAGTTGTTCTTGTTAGATTATTAATTTTAATACGAAGAAAAAGAACTAAAAGTGTAATAATTCGAAAAATAGTCGTCTATTTATAGTAATGTACGGTGACATATTCATGAAAAATGTTTAATTTAAAAACTGGTGACAAATGAGATTTCTTTCAAAACTCTGAGACATGCGCTCGGGAAAAAAAGACTATATTCAAGTCTCGTAAATCATTCATACAGTGAGGGCTCAAAAAAGCATGTACATTTTTGTTTTTAAGCATAAGCAAATAATAAGGATATTCTGAAAATTTTCTCTCATATCGGACTTTGTAGAGCTTTTTTCGTTGATCATTTCGGTAAAAGAATTTTTTGATTTTCATTGAGTAATGACGATGTTATAGTCAAAATACGGAACACTGTAATATAAAGTAGGGAAAAAAGTTTATCACACTTTTAGTATTTGGCTAATTTTTACATTATTTCACAACATCTGAAAGATGTTCTATATATCATTCGACGCAGAATTTAATGGGCTACATTTTAGTAACAAGCACTTATACTTATATTGTAGTTAATTAATTAATTAATAATAATTAGCGATTAGTTAATAATTAGTCATTAGTTAATAATTAATAATAATTAGCAATTAATTAATAAAATTTTGATTTTTGTTTTAAATTCCAACTCTTTCATATGAAAGAGCATAAAAAACTGAACAAAACTCTATAATTACTATTTGGAAAGCAACGAATTTATTGAGGTTTTAGTGTGATTTTCAGAGTATGTTCATTTGCAATTAAATATCGTATGTATTACAGTGTTTAGTTCTTTGACTATAACATCGTCATTACTCAATGAAAATCAAAAAATTCTTTTATCAAAATGATCAACGGAAAAAGCTCTACAAAGTCCGATATGAGAGAAAATTTTCAGAATATCCTTATTATTTGTTTATGCGTAAAAACAAAAATGTACATGCTTTTTTTGAGTCCTCACTGTATTATACAAAAGATATTAGGGTTTTCTGTTTATTTGAAACTTTATTATTTCAAGAAGGAAATATTCTTCTGACAAGATAATCTAAGGGAAACTTCTTTAGAATTTTTTTTTGTATCTCACTGAAGTCTATTTTTTTTTCAGAGAATTTGAATTCAAAAACGATTGATCGATATAAAATGTTCTTTTGACAATAAAACGTACATGCATCAATTCAAATACGCTCTAAATTGTATTTTCTATCATCATAGTTAGCATAAACACTTGTAAATCAGAGAGTACGTTTTCTATAGAAAACTTTTGTTTTTGTCTTACCCATTAAACATGTTTGAAGTATTTTTAAACTAGTTATAATTGGTTTAAGTTTAGATTTATAAAATAAATCTCCATCACTTTCAGGTATTGTTGTATTAACATGTAAAAGTGTTTTTGTTTGAAATATATAAAGTAAATTTGATGTTTCACGAAATAATAAATAAGCACTTGGTTTGGTTGAATCAAATATTAAACGTTCTTGACGATTTGATGTTAATTCATAAAAAAATTTTAATAATGGATTATAAACATCTTTTCGATCATAAAATACATATAAAGCTTTAAGAAATAATGGTAAATAAGATGGATATAACCAATCAAAAAATGATGTATAAGCTTGTTTTGATACTAATGAACTACATAAACCACGTAGGTCACGACTAATACCAATAATAAGAGATTGAATTTCGTCTAATGATGCCAATTTTGGACTAAAAAAAATTAGGAAAAATATGTGTACGAAACTATAATACTATTCGAAAACATTCGTAGAATTTCTTTTTTTCAAAGAGAAAGGAAAAGTCACGACAGTGAAAAAATGATTGTCGACTTATGAAGGATGTACGATTTTAATTCGAAGTGATCGCATCTTTTCGAGATTAACATATCATATCAAAAAATCATGATTTTGTTGCAAGAGTTTCTTTAGTCATGTGGCTAACATATTCAACAGAATAATATGAACTCCGACAAATCTAAGAAAATCCGAATTGCAGGCGCTAGGAAAATGTATCGCATAATATATTAGTCCTAAAAGGTTCTCAACACACACACTCACGATAAATTGTCCGCACATCTGAAGAATGAAATCACTTACGGATCGGACAGTCGAAATCCGACTACACATACAACAGTCGAATTTCTACGAGATCTAATCAATATAGTTAAGCACTATGATGTGTATTAATTATATATAGAGACAAGGTTTTTCTATGAGGATTAATGAAAGCCTAAATTTTGAACTTTCATCTCAACAATGATTTCGATAAGATCTGCCTATTCAGTTGTTTCATCTGAATAGTTTTCATTTTACTGTGAACATAAATTAATTTGAATATTTAACTTTCTTACTTGAATTGAGTCATAGCTGAGAATTGTCCAGGATTGAGTAATGAAAAATCTGGAAATTCTTTAAATATTTGTACTAATCTTGTACAATGATTTGTAAATGGTGTCATAAAAGCTTCTATACGTTCATCATCATCATCATCATAATGAAATTCATACATTAACATACGTCCAACAGAAGAATAAAATGTTGTTCGTAAACGTGACCAACTACTTAAACTTAGATTACTATTATGTGAATGATTCATTGTTGATGTTGGATGAAGAAATGGAAATAAATCTTGTGTATGATTATTTATAAAATATTGTATTGGATCAAGTTTAACTAATTTACGAACACTTTGATAACCATGAGTTAAATCACTAAAACATCCAACAGTTCGTTCAATTAATTTATCTGTTACTATTGAATATTGTAAATTAGTAAAAAGTTTTTTAACAAATATTGATAACAATTGTTCTTCATCGGCAATACCTAAACCATACAAAAAAGAATTTCTTTTTTAATGTCATTTATCAACTGTTTGTATGATATAACTCAATCAAAGCAAAAGTTTTTTTTCATAGAAATTGGTTTTCCAGAAACTTTCTCATGTTTAGAAACATATAAAATGCGAAAATCTCGGATTTAAATCCGAGTGTTATGTGTACTTGAAAAAGTGAACAGGTATATTCACTTTTTTTTTTTATCATCTGAGACATATCTAGGCAATTTGCTTTCTGGATGCAGTTTTTGTGCATTTTGAGACCTTTTTCAGGCTAGAAAGCTACGATTTGGTTCAAAACTAATATCAGATTCGGAATCAGCGTTAAAAACTGAGTCGATTTATATATGTTGTGAATAATTCTGACAAAAGGTTTTTTTTTTTGAAAAACTCCCTGTACCCCCCCCCTCAGGGATGGTCTGGTCAATAATGACAATTTTTTCGATAACTCAGCTATTTTTTGACGGATCCTTCTCATCTTCGAACTCGACCGAGACATTGATGAGACTGAACTGTGTAAAAAATTTCATCACGATCTGACTCTCTTTTCGAAAGTTATCGTGTAAACGGCCGGCCGGACACACTGACCGATTCTATAGTGTACTCACTTTTTGAGTACACAAAAAATGTTGTTTTACTGCTATCTCGAAATTTATAAAAAGGAAAAGATTTGTAGCATTTAGCATTGGCTCTAAACTATGGATTTAGTTACAAGAATATGTGTTTATTTCTATATTTTTCATTCTGTTACGTTGTAGAAAGTAAGCAAGAGTAATGTATATAGCTATAATTATTGTTTTCACTCCATTATGGACTAATAGAAATTTCGAAATACCGGGTGTCACAAAAGTCTTGTCGTAATAAGCTTTTTGATTATCTCCACTATGTTATTTGACAAAATCAACTTTGTTTTTAAATGATAAACAAATACACCAAGTTTTTATTCATAAAAGAAAATTCAAAAGTACCACTTTGAACTGAAATACAAAAATTTAGTCTTTTTTCAACGTTTGTTTTTTAATTGCTTGAGTTATTCTGTTCTTTAAATCATCAAGATCGTTTATATTATTTTTTTATATGTTTGTTTTGATATAACCCTAGAGGAAAAAATCCAAAGAAGTCATATCAGGCGACCTTGAAGCTCAAGTGTGTGTGATCGACCTTCCTCTTCCTATCCACCGGTTATCAAAATTGTCATCCAACCAACAACGAACTATCTTCGACAATTGCGATTAGTGTATTTGTCTATCATTTAAAAAGAAAGTTGATTTTGTCAAATGACATAGTGGAGATAATGAAAAAACTTATCATGACAAGACTTTTGGGGCATCCGGTATATTCCTGCATGCTGTTCTGTTTTAAACTTTTCTTTTGTTGAATAAACAAATATTGAAAAAGAACATTCAAGGCAAAATAAAGAATAAAGCCATAATAGTAGACTTCAATGCCTAAACATCTCTTTGATCAAGGTTTTTTATGTAAACTATGAAATTTTAATTCAAAAAAAGATTGATTGATTTCTATACACTAAAGAAATTTTATTTCTTTCTTGCAATGATATCAAAACATTCTGATATCATCAAAAAGATTAGATAAACTACTTTATAAATTTTCTTCTAGATCTATCAATAACTATTCTTCTACAAAAAAAAAAGAAAACAGATTTAATTGTATTTTATTTTTTCTTAGTCGTAAAATATTTTCTATAAAAGCTTTTTTTTTTGAAATCTTACCAAGATGTTTAAAAAGAACTTGATAAATTTTATTTGATCGTCCATAATCACCAATATATTGTCTACGAAATTGTTCAAAAAAGAAAAGAACAGCTAATTCTAATCTTTCAGAATAAGGTGTTGAACTAATTTTATCTGTTATTGTTGTTGTTGTTATTGCTGCATTAATAGATTTTTGATTATTTTCACCTGATGTTTTTTGTTGTATATATGTCATTAATTGTAATACACGTATAACTAATTCACCATCAAATAAATCTTGATCTTCACTTGATATTGATAATGATGATAATATTATACCACGTGCACCAATAACACATCCAAGGACATATATAAGAAATGTAAAACGTCTTTCAATTGTTTCAGAATTTGTTATCTAAAGGATAAGAAGAAAAACAAAATGCACAATAAAATACTTAGGATTTACCAAAAGTAGTAGCAGTCATAATAATAAAATTTGAATAAGATCTGTTTTGTTCGCATGTGTTACGGTTTTATAAATGTTAATGAATATTTTTTGAATAACTGTTGATAGAAATAAGATTGAGAAGTGCAGTTTTTACCATTGGAAAGAGGAGATAAAGATGTATCGAATTGTATACTGTAGATTTTTCTAATATTAATTTCTGAAGTATTTTTATTAAATTTTCAAACAATCGGAAAAATGTCTTTTTTTTTATGAAAAAGTACAAAAGTGAACTTTTTTCACAGGTTTTGCTACAAAGTCACTAGACTAGAATGCATAATATTCATATCAACCTTCCGAACATTGTAGATCTTCGATTAATGCTTTTGATTTTATATTTGATAATTGAAATTTCACTCTAAACAACATAACCAGATAAGTCTATTCTCAAAAACGATCAATTGAATGTCTTACAAAAAACAGATTATGAAAACCTCGAATATATGATTCGATGCGTCTTCATCTTCTCTTTTCAACGATAAAAACTACACTTCTCTGTCTTGTTTTTATCAAAAGTTATTGAAAAAAATACTCACTTATATTTTTTAAAATGAGTATTAATACAACCAATACATATAATAACGAAATACATCTTATCAATATAGAAAGAAAGTTTCTTTAAGTCTACTATACGGTATTAAAGTGTCATTGTTACTACTTTTGGTATATCCTAAGTATTTTGTTTTTGTTTTATAGATTTACTTGTTGATATTGTTTAGCAATATCATCAAAATAATTACATAAAAGTGCACATATTTTACTATAATCTAATCTAGACATAATACTAATCATTTCTAATTGTTGTTGTAATACTGTTTGATCATTATCAAATAATTCAATATAAAGTGCATCATCATTATTCATTGCATCTAAACGTGATTGAACATAATAACAAACAATTTGTGGAACATATATATCAAGTAAATGTAATGTTGATGAATCATCTGAATCAGATAATTTTGATACATGTGATAAATATGCACAAATTTTTGACCAATATGATAATATATAATGAAGAGTATTTGGTGATAAATGATATGAACGATGATGATGAACACTTAATAAATGATCAATTGTAAAACGAAATAATCTTTCAGTAAATAATGGATAATTATCAATACGTATTAATTCATGTAATTGTGCATTTGATTTTAAACGTGCAATTAAACGACAAAATTCATGTAAAGATTTTTCATCAGTTAGAAGACCACCAGGCTGTTCAATAATCAATCGAATACCTAAGTTAGATATTTCAAAATATGATTTTATTTATAAATCTTAGAAGTCAAACGTAAGTACAAGTCGACTCATTAAATTTCACAAATATTAGCCATGATCTACTCACCAACCGAATACTACATATCGAATTCACAAAGAAAGAATTTGACTTAAATATTATCTATTGTTTTCTGTTACATATGTATTTTATCAGTCTAATTCATGTTTAGTCAATCGTTAGATATAAACAATTCGATATCTTATTTTTCTCTTTCAAATGATTCAAAAATTTTTAGATGTTTTATATTTTACTGTTGAAAATCAAATTTATCGAATTTTGTTTCTTACCATATGTTATTAAATTCAATATATTTAGACGTTCATTTGCATTTAATAATGATCTTCTTACACTTGATAATTGAACAAGACATGAAATTGCTAATGGTACAAGTGTTGTATTTGAAAAAAGAAAATAATATGAAAAAAATAATTGATAATAACTTCCATCAACAATATGATCATGCCATGCAAGTGGAACTTGTAATGTTTGATGTTCATCTGATATATCAACATCATGAATAGTTGAACCAGTTCCTACGAGACAAACAAAAAAAAGTATAACGAGTTGAATTAATTCCTTGAAATAGTAAAAGAATAACATATAATATTTACGACAATTTTTAAATAAGTGCCGCAATCTCCTTTAAAAAAACTGATTTTTGAATTTCGACTTGAATGTTTGTACATAGATAGACCTTAATAAGAATAGTTTATTGTGAAAATTTGAAAAATGAGTGTTGCTCAGAAGACTCACAACATTCGCTTAAAAACTACCGTAAAAATGCATCATTTCGACAATAATTAACTAAGGATCTAAACTGTTTTCAGAATATTCACAATTTATTTGAAAGACTTCTCTTATGAGGAGAAAATTTTGTTCACAGATAATCCTAAAATATTTGGTTTATTTGAACTGTTCATTTTTGAAGATCAGGAAAAAGTTACTCGAATGTTTATTTATACGTCAATTATACAAGTCATCGATTAATTTACTCCTTCCTCCGTAAAATCTTATTTAGTAGACATAACCAGAGTCATATGTTATTTGATCTCAAATCAACATCAATCACCAAAATTCTTCTCAGCTGAATTTCAGCTTCATTTTGCTCATTAATTTCTAAAAAGATAATGCTCAATCTCGGAACATTTCTAAATATTTGAACTACTTTCGTATTGCATATACAACAGCTACATTGTATTTCATATTTTAATCCTACGAGACTTTCTTATATATTTACCAAGAAAATCATATGTTAAACAAGATAATGCTAATGATAGTAATTTTTCAACAACAATATAATAATCCGATTGTAATTGAATACTATGTATTGTTTTTGGATAATTATTAAATTCAATTGATAATCCTAAAGATTTTTTTTGATTTATGATGACATCACGTAAATATTGACCAGCAAATAAATAGATATCAATTAATTTTGTATCTCGAAATGATATACAAATTTTTCGATGTTTGGTAAATGCTCTAGCTGTTATTTCTTCATCATTAGGTACACTCATTTCTGTTAGAATAGCTATTAATATTTGTAAAGCAACTGAAAACTGTCTTGGATCAATTTGAAATTTAAGTAAATCATCTGTAAATGTTTGGAATGGATAATTTTCATTATTTATATTTGGATTTAAATCAAACCAAGAATTTTTTGTTAAACGTGAATATAATTTAACTAATTCGGCTAATACAAATGAAGCTAATGAACTATTATGTTTATATAAATATTCAAGAATATATGCACGTAATTCATAACGTTCTGTAAATGAAACTAATGATTGATTTGTTATAGAATTAAAATATTTTATTAATGTTGTAGCACCAAAAAATTGAGTATAGGGTGTTAAAGCACGATCAAGTAATAAACGACATTGTGATAAACAATTTGTTTGATTAACAAATGTTTCAAGACGTTGAGAAACTGTACGCATTTGATCATTATTACCACTACCACTATATAATTGACTACATAAATGTTCAATTTCAAGAGCATCCATTGATCCACAGATTTCACAAGTGATTGACAATTTTTTGATCGATAACGGAAAGAAAAACAGGATATTGGATCAAATATGATAAATGATATTTAACCAATGACATAATAGATTTATAGTTAAAATGTAAAATTGAATTATTTAAGGTTAGAAATACAATTTGTTTTTGAGAAAAAGAAATATTAAGAAATTGTTTGTATTCTCCTCGATAGATGTCGCTAATCACCGAGTGTCAATTAGTGGTATGATTAGAAATAATCTTTTGATGCTTTCGTTAAGATATTTTTATATAATTAAAATTGCATAAAAATCAGTGATTTTTCATATGACATTTAAAATGATCGAACCTAATTGTAACACTCTGCTCAAGAATAAAAACTATGTCTCGACAAGTATACGGCCGTCTTTTATCATCGTATGCATAAGAGTTTCTCATGAATGACGAGAAATATGATATTATTTTCCTCCATCTATCGTAAATAATAAAAGTCGATAGTTTTTTTTTTAAATAAAATATTATTGTTTATTTTAATATTGAGATTGAGTATCGTCAAAACTGAGCGGATTCTGACGGCGTCGATTCACAGTAACTAGACCAAGATGCTAATCTGTACCGAGTTCATTTTTAATATTACATATTGTCACTGTATTAATGAGGAAAGGTTCAAATTTTGCACTTGCTCCAGTGTTTCTAATTCATGTTACACATGTGTTCTTACTATCACTAGTATACTACGGTAGCCATGAAGGTCAAAGGTATACTGGCTGAAGGTTAACAGTCAGGGAATAACCATGTAGTTCAAACCGGATAAAGATCGCCGGTGAGTCGTTAGTAAACTGACAATCAATAGGTGATGATTTGATACTTAAATAGTTGGCTACCTTCTGACTGTCATTTTACTTCGATACAGAGATATATGTTATCCTATTGGCAATCTACTGTCGATATATCGTCGGCTCTTATGGCTGTTTTGATGCATCGGGCGGTGGTGTAAACATACATGAAACATAGGTAGCCAATCATTTAAGTGTTATACTACTAACGGTTAATTATCAGCATGATGCACATTATTCAGTCCGACAAGACTCTTGAAACAATGCTGTAAAACGGTATTTAACGATTTCTTTACCCACTTGCAGCGCAAACCTTACCAGTCTTATCACGGCCAAAAGTAAAAGGCGTATTAAAGCGCGAAGCTTAGCTAAAAACACACATCTTTTATGCGTATTTTTCTGGATGGATTTTGTTGTGTCCAATAAACATTCGTTATTTCTTGTTTCTTTAGCAATTCCACTCGTTAAACTGAATTCATCTCTTGAGATTAGTTCAACTATAGAATTTCTGGTTTTTCGTATTTGGCGATCTAGTTTTCTTAGAACCAATGTATTCTTGGTTTGTAGATTTTGCTACGAATAAGTACTGAAAGCTATGTAAGATTATATAATCAAAATGGAATAAAAAATATATCTAGAATATTATATTCTAGCGTTTAGTATTAGTGAAAGAAAAAAACTAGCTTAACAATACAGTCTCACATTTGAGCCTTGTCAGCTGAGCAATTGTTATACTTGCACTATGAAGATATATGTCATTGCTTGTAGCCTTCATGAACTCTCTATATGGTAGTCTCGTAAAGAATATTATAAATGAGCGTGTATAGCAAATCTCACTTTACAAAACCTTATGTGCCACTATTCGGGTGTGGGTTGGATTTGGACGTGGACGTGAGGAAGCAAAAACACCCAAACCCATACATCTATACCACACTCACACGTTAGTGTTACGTACTATTTTCATATATCCCATTTCGTTTGTAGAGATATTTCACCCGTCAGATAGAGTTATTTCTGTTGTGTTGCATGGCTCATAAACATCGGATGAAATTGCATGCAGAACAAAAGACTTCTCTTTCATTGTTTTCATGCCTGCCAATTTTCTAATTCTATAATAACCTTATCAAAAGCCTGTTTCAATTGATAACCAGAATCTTTTTTTTTGTAAGATAAGTCTCTCTCAATGAAATGAACTGTTTTAAAATATGTGCATCGTTCTTTGCCGAAAAAAAGATATTTTAAATTGTGCAATCGGCTTCATCAAATGTTTATAAGCCATTTTGAAGGATATGGTAAAAACATAAATGCAGTTCGACCTAGTCTGCCAAGAAATGTTGAACATACAAAAAGAGCTATTGTTTCATGTCGTTTATCAAGTTGTTAGCGTCTCGAGTCTCTCAAACGCTTCTATACAATGAGAACTAAAATGCTTATCTTTTACTTTGGATGTAATCATTGATAACTGGGTTAAAAACCTGCAAGGATCTTATTTGAGAATAGGGGTGTGGAACGATTGTTATTTTCAAAATAACTATTTTTTTACAATTTTACGAAATGTGAATGTAATCTAATGTATTTATGTCAATAGAAAGAGCACAAAATTCTGAGTCGTAACAGATAGTTACATAGAAGTCATATGTCAAGATGTCGAGAAATACTAGAAAGAGTTATTTTTAAAATAACAATAACTTCATACTCTTATTTGAGAACTAAGAAGCCATAATGCGCTAGAACATGAATATGCGACTATGTGTTACATAGATAAGACAAAAACTCTAGGAAATACTTTAAGTCATAAAGAATAGTGTATCCTGGTAAAAATAAACGACACAGCTAGTTTTTTTCAGTTTAGTTGCAACGACATTATGTGCTAGGTCTTATATTTATATTATGAGTAATACATGAAGATCTTCAGTTTTTATTAAACTATCAGTAATTGACTGTAGTAAACTCTTGAAAAAAGAAAAATATCTCATGAAATATTTAATCAG